ATATGCGCACACACACACAGTTAAAATGTCCATTTTACGAATAGTCAATTTTACGAATGGTCTTTGGCCCTGATGTCATCATCAACCTATTATTAGTGTAAAAAAAGTCTGAAGCCCTGACAAAGTTAATCTGACAACATAGGTAATTTGCTCATTAATTGTCATATAGTACAAATATACTAATTAGGTTGGCATTCTACCCGCAGCTACTAAACTAGAATTAATGGGCTATGCTCTAATTTATTTGTGACCAATAAGTGGCTTACTTACTTCGCTTATCCGTCCACACATGAAGTTCCTGGGACAATTCCGGTACCACCAGGAAAGTTCTCCATCCACGTTCCTTCTTTGAACGAAGGATGTCGCCAAAGATGTGATCTCCTATGTAAAGAACATCATTGCCTTTGACCCCTAGAAGCTCACAGAACACCTCTGATGAACCCCCGGAATAAACTTGACCTTTTTGGAATGGGCCAATATGGGTGCCAATCTTTAAAGCACCAGTTTCCTGATAGAACAAATTTAAAGAATTACTAGCAATGTAAAACCATTTGGGTTAATGAAGATGATGATGTTGATAATGCTGGCGATGATAATGTTAGTACGGTAATAATAAAGATGGTGATGATTATTTAATAATGTCGGGTAGGGCAAACATCAATCGTATATTATTTCTCCAGACAAAAAAAACATCATTGGAATAACAATGCAGGACCCGATGCTACTTGGGAATCAGATTAATCACTAGCTGCCAAGTGCAAGCTTGATGGTCAATAAGGGCTTAGCCAGCAAGCCGCCTGACCGACGACCAACAATTATTTAGGATTTGGACAGCCTATTTTGTTTTTGACCCTGGTGGTCGAGTGGTTAAGACACCTGGCTATTTATCTTGAGGTTGTGGGTTAGATTAACACCAGAATCACTTGTGTTTGTCTTTTTGCAAGCATTTGAAAACATACTGAGCATTCAGTACGATAACAAATCAGGTAGGGAAAACATCGTACGCTGATAATTGCTACTAGAAAGAAATATTTACATAAAGGCAGCATATTTATAAAGCCATTTTTTAAATAAATGTATTCTTAAATGTGTACAATGGGTGTAAAAGCTCACCATATCTACTTGGCGTAAGATGGTTCCCTCACCAAAGAACAGAGGCTTCCTGGCGTCAGTTATACATACGTCAAAATACTCCCACCATGGTTTCTGAAATAAATCAATTAAAAT